CACACACACACACACACACACCGCCCCCAGATCATCCCTGGTGCGCGTGAGATGGGCTACAAGGTCCAGGCCCACGCGTTCCAGGGCTACTGGGAGGACATCGGGACCATCGAGGCCTTCTACAACGCCAACCTCGCGCTTGCCAAGCCCGGGAAGACGGACTTCAGGTTCGTGTGTGTGTATGCGTGCGGGTGTGGGGGTGGTGGGGGTTGGGCGCGCCTTGGGAGGGGGGCTGCCGGGGGCGCCCTCGAGGGTCGACGACCGCCTCCGGCCTGCAGGGGCGGAGCCGAGGGCGCGCCCCATGCGCGCGAGACCCTGGGCGCGCCGGTCGGGGCGCCCGAATGGCGCGTGCAGGAGCCGTAGTTTGGGCCGGGGTCGGCAGGGGTGCAGGGCGAGGGCCTGCCAAGGTGGGCTCTGCGCAGGCGTCCCCTCGCGGGACAAAACAACCTCTCAGCTGCACTTGTGGCAGCAGGCCGCGGGCTGAACAAGCGGGTTCGGGAGACCCCTTGACTTCACGCCCAGCGGCCCCGCCCGTCACATCCCGCCGGCCCCCGCGAACCCACCCCCAGCTTCTACGACAAGGCGGCGCCCATCTACACCATGAGCCGCTTCCTGCCGCCCTCCAAGGTGGTGGACGCCGAGGTGAGGGGCGGCACAATGAGGAGGGAGGGGGGGGTGGCGGGGGCCAGAGAGACGGCCAGCCAAATCATCGACGCGGCATCCACGCAGGCAGCCCACCAGCCAAGTGGCCCATGAGCCAACCAGCCGCCCAGCCCGCCAGTCAGCCGACCGAGCGGCCTGCCGGCCGACCGGCCGACCAGCCGACCAGACAGGCAGAGACAGACACAGACGGAAATACAGACAGACACACCGACGGAAACAAAGACAGACAGACAGACAGACGGAGAGACAGATAGACGGACAAGCACCCAGACTGACGGCTGAGCAGGCGTGTCCGCAGCAGCGCCGCGGCGAGGCTGACGTGGGCGGCCGCCGCGCCGCCGCAGACGCGGTGCGAGCGGCCCGTGCCCTGTGCTCATGCTGTTCCTTTCTTTGTTTCTACCGCTCCCGCCCTGAAACAACCCTACACACACATGACATGCGCGCACACACGCACACACTTACACACACACACACCGCGACAACCAGATCCATGACGCCATCATCGGTGACGGCTGCGTGATCAAGGCCGGCAGCGTCATCAAGAACAGCGTCATCGGCCTGCGCACACTCGTGCAGGTGCGGCAGGCGGGGGCAACAGTGTAACGCGCGCGCGCGCGCTTGCACAAAACCTGGGGGCAGCGACGCCCCCTGGGGGCCGATGGCGGGGCGCTCCGGGGGTGCGGGATCCTTCCGCGGCGCCAGCTGGCGCTGCGCAGCCGGCCGGCCGGCCTTTGACCGCTCAACCTGTCGCACCATTCCACAGGAGAACGCCCTCATCGAGGACACCCTCATCCTGGGCGCGGATTACTACGAGACCAAGGAGGTGCGTGTCCCCTGACTCGATGCGTTTTGCGATCCGACAAAGCCTGCACGTCGTGGCCCCCGCGCCCCTCTGAAGGGCCGGGGCAGGCGGCGGTCCTGCGACGCAGGCCGCATAAGTCAGAAGAGGGTGCCGAGCAAGCCTGGGGGCACGCAGGCGGTGTGCCGTTTTGAGGCAACGGGGGGGGGGAGGCTGCAACGTGCGGGCGCCCGAGCAGGCAGAGCGATCCGTCAACGGCCCCGCGCTGCCGCTGCCGCCGCCGCCACAGGAGTGCACGTTCGTGCCGGGCTGCCAGCCCATCGGCGTGGGCCGCGGCGCCGTGGTCCGCCGGGCGCTGGTCGACAAGAACGTCCGCATCGGGGACAACGTGAGCGCGGCCCCGCGGGGTTCAGGGTGCAATGCAGGGCTCAGGGCGTGCAGGGTGTCGAGGTTTCAGGCCCCGTCGCGGCGCGCCGACCGGAAGCAGAGGGCCCGTAACGGGGCCCTGGCGGCGCCGCGGACAAAGAGGGGCGGCGCTGATGCCGGCGCGTGCCAGCTCCGCGCCCGATGCGGGCGCAGCGAGGGCCAAGCTAGCCAAGGCCGAGGCCGCAGCAGGCCGCCCGCGGCACCGTTTGTTTCGCACATGCTCTTCATTGGACGCCGCAGCCCTCATGCGCAATCTCCGACACGGCCCCCCCCCCCAAATGTACATTCCAAAATGCAGGTCCAGATCGTGAACAAGGCGGGCGTGAGCGAGGCCAACCGGGAGGAGGAGGGCTTCATCATCAAGGACGGCATCGTGGTGCTCTGCAAGAATGCACACATCAAGAGCGGCACCGTCATCTGAGGGGGCCCAGCAGAACGAAGAGAGTTTGCCGCGAGACGGCTTGAGCAGGGGCAGTTTTGTTTCATTATCGCCCTGAGCGGCGAGCTGACCGTCCGGCTGGCGTCTAGGCCTGGGTTTCGGCGTCTCTCCGCGCGCCCGCCCCCTGGGCGTGTTGGGCGAGGCGAGATGCGCGCCGAGGGGCACACGCGGCCAGCCGCCCCTCTGCAGTTGTCAGGGCGGCCGCCCACCGGTCGGCTGGGCCCAGGCGCCCAGGGCGCGGACGATGCGACCGGGTGCGGGCGCCCATTAGAGCCTCAGTCTTTTTTGCTATCTATCTGACGGGCTCCTGATGGGTTCATGGGGCTGTGCGATCCCAGGCGCTCGACGCCGGCGTGCGAGACAGCGCGCGCCGCACCCCGTCCCGGCCGCGAGCGGGGTTCCCCGGGGCGCTGAGGCCGCTCACACACACCGCGCGGGCTGCTGGCAGTCGGCACGGACACGTAGAGGGCGCGGCGCGGGCACTTTGCTTGTGGCGAGCGCGGCGTTGCGCCACAGCCTGGGGCCCTCGCCCCATTTCGCGGGCTGGCCTCCCTTGGGCCGCTTTTTCCCAACCGTCCGCCACCGCGCCGCTCGCCTGCCGGCGCTCATGCTAACTACACCAAGTAAAATCCTGGCTGCCGAGTGTGGTCTGTACGCATTAGCCACAAGGGAGCGTGCTGTGCTGAAAGTACGGCTCATCGGTGGCTGGGACCATTTTATGACTTGGCTGGGCTGAGGCAGGCTGCAGGGCGCCTGGGCACGTCCTACGCACAAGCTCTCCCCTAGGACATGGAACGCCAACGTGCAGATCTGCGCTGCCCAAATATGAAACGGCCCCAGGCACAGGGCCAAGGATTCTGCCACCCGCAGGCTGCAGTCATTTGGGCTGGTGCCAGCAGCGAGTGGTGCCGACGCACCTGATCCGTCCAACTTTCCGTGAACGGAGTTGACGCGCCTCTCAGACCGCAGTTACGTATACGTACGTCTGTTGCATTGGTTAACATCGTGCACGTCGCAGTCACTGGCTGTTCAGCACTGTGCCACAACGCTCAGCCCAGGCGTTGGGACACCGCGCCCGCGGCGCTGCAGGGGCGGTATTTGCTATATACATATACGTGATGAAGCGTCGCATTGGGCTCCTGTTGGTAGCGGTCACCTGCATCGCGGCTAGTACCACGGTGAGCACCCAGGATGGGCAAATTGCAGAGTTGCAGAGTGTGTGCGGCATACAATACTTGGTGATGGAGTATTTGAGCACTTAAGGCTTGCTGTTGGCCGCCGCAGTCGCTGCATAGCCTGCGCCATAGAACAGTCGCCAGCGGCAAGCGGCCGCTTCTCCCACATCCCGCGCGCCACAGGCCGCAGCCAATGGGCTCCCCGCGCTGCCATTTGCCGCCGCCCCGCCGGCGGCGCCCTCCCCCGAGCCGAGCGAGGGCGCCGGTACCTATGTGAACGTGTACGGCTGGATCAAGTGCTACCCGGAGGCTATCGTGCGGCCGAGCACCACGCAGCAGCTCGCCGACGCAGTCCGGCAGCTGCGGGCCGCCGCAAAGGCCGCCGGCAAGCAGCTCAAGCTCCGCGTCTCCCGCACCCGCTTCCACGGCACTCCCAGCTTCGTCTGCCCCGGCAGCTTCAGCGGCGGCGTCGGCTCGCCGATCCCCTTCATCCAGCCCTACAAGCAGCCCGCCAAGAGCGCGGCGGCGCCGAGCACCGTGGCGGTCCTGATCGATGATCTGAAAGAGGTGCTGACCGTTGACCGGTCAAACTACCGGGTCACCGTGCAGGCGGGGCTGCGCGTCGACCAGCTCCTCACGTGGGCGGAGGCCAACGGGATGGCGATGGAAAGGGGCGCGATCGCGTCATATGCGGAGCTATCAATCGCGGGCGTGCTCGCCACCGGCGGCCACGGCACGGGCCACAACGTGTCCTGCAACATGGTGGGGCGGGGCTTCGGGCGCCGGGGGCGTGCCGCGCAGCTGCTGAGGGCCGCGCCGGCCGTTGCGGGCAGCCACGAAGGCGGGAAAAGCTGCAAAAGTCTGGGATGGCGTTACAGCAGCCGGCCGCGCGGTGGCGGCGCGCCGGCAGAAGCCTCCCATGCAGCGCGTGACACGCGTGCTTCTTTCCACTTCTTCCTGCACGGCCCGATGCGCCGCACGTGCTGTTTTTCCGGCCGGCTTCGCATCTTGCATTCCTGTCGCCTCAGAACAACATCGCCGCATGTCCGCAGGCCGACGCAACGATCAACATCACCTGGGTCGACCCGGACGGCGGCATCCACACCAGCGCGCGCGACAGCCCCGAGGGCCACGCGCTGTCTGGCGGGGTCGGCCTTCTCGGCATCATCACAGGTGGGGCGAGCCATGGGCAGCACGGGCGCCGAGACGCACGCGCTTGCTGCCAGCAATAGCCCGGTTGTGAGCACGGCGTGCCGCCCCAGCACCTTGGGAGCCCAGGCGATGCCCGCGCAGCGCGGAGGAGCGCGGCGGGGCGCCGGCACCTGTTGTGTATCTGCATTGCATGACATCCTCTTTCCACCGTTGCGACGAACCATGGCCGTGCAGAGGTGGCTGTCCAGCTGACGCCGCCGACGCTGACTAAGGCCCTGAGCAAGACCTTCCTGCGGGATGCGACCCTGCCCGCTGACATCGATGGCTACCTCCAGGCAAGACAGCTGGCCGGGCGATCGCTTGCTTATGCGCCTGAGTTTACCATATATTTGATGTTTGAAAACAAAGTCGCATGCGCTCGAGCCGCTGCGGCGGTGGCGTGCACCGCCCCTGCGGACCTGGGAGCCCCTCCAGTCCTACGGCCCAGCCGCGCTGCCCCTCAGCCCCGCCCCCTCCGCGCCCCGCCGCGGTCCCCCTGAACGCCCCGATCAACGCAGAACACGCCGTTTGTCGCTATCGTGTGGCGGCCAGACATCTTCAAATACAGCGCCTTCCAGATGTTTGCCACAGAGTCCCTCAACACCGGCAGCTCCTGGGCCCTGGTGCCGCCGGTGCCGACAGCCTTTGTGTCCCTCCTGGAGGTGCGCTGCCGCGGCTCCCTTTCTTTTTGGGTTGCTGGACTGGGGCAGTCCAGCGCTGCGAGACTCGGCTTGGGCGACCTGCGGGGGACTTCTGCTGACCTTGGGCTCTGCAGCTGGCCCTGCGGTAGCCGCTGGGTGCCCCCTTCCCTTTGATGATCATTATTTCAAACCTCCTATTTTCCGCTCTCCCACCCCTCCCCTGTCAAACCGGCGCCAGATGTTTTATCTGCCGTGGCAGGGTGACTACAACGACGTGCTGCTGTCCAAGATACTCAACCCGCTCAACTGCATATCGCAGCTGGCCACCATCTTCCTGCAGACCTGGGCGGGCCTCGGCCTCATCCCGCAGGTACCCAGCCACATTCACGAGGACAGGGCACGCCATGACATGCGCCAGCCGCGCTCGCGCTCGGCCACCATCCGGCACTCGGCTGAAGCAGCCGGCTGCGCCGCACATTGGATCGCGCCGACGCCATTGCACCTCCATCACTCCTGCCCCCTTTCACCTGCCATCATTTGCAGGTGATCGCCGCCGGGAGCACAAACAAGGTGATGGGCGGCGGGTGCCTGCCCAACTGCCCCTGGGAGCAGGGGCTGGCGGTTGATGACGTCGCATTCATCATTGACAGGTCTCAGCTGCCTGACTGGATCAATGACATCAAGAAAATTATCCACTTTGACCTCCAGGATAACGGGAAGGCGCCAGACAGGTGGGCTCGGTTTACTTTGTGTACATGGGTAGGGCGCAGAGCGTGGCAGGTACAGCGTGCGCACGTGTGCGAGACATGTGTGCCTGTATGCATGGGCAATTCGTGCATTCAATTGTGCTGCGAGGGGTGCATGGTTGACAATGTCAGCAAAATGAGCTTGCATGTCAGCGAAGACCCTGCCAAGTGTTTTGAATGCACGCCGCTCTTCTGACGCCGGCCCCCTCATTGATTGCACACACCCCGTGCTGCGATCGCCACGCAGGTGCCTGTCCAACGGTCACTTCCTGATCCGTTTCGGCAAGGACTCGCGCGACTACGCCGGCATTATGGGCGGCCTCAAGGAGCCGGTCTCCGTGGAGCTGGCATCGCTGCGCGCCAAGGCGCTGCCCAACGTTCACAACAAGTTCTCGTTCGTGCAGGAGGTGCGCCCGCACTCCAGCGCCGCGGCCGGGCCGCGACGCTGGAGCCCACAGGCGACTGTGGGCGAGCTCGAAACAAGGGGGTGTGTGCAGCAGATCAACTGCAGGCGGCTTGGTCCCACGGTTGGGCGAGGGGAGGGGGCGAGGCCATGTGTGCACTGAGGCACGCCGACACAACATGGCTGGTTCCCTCCTGTCCCTCTTTTGTGCAGGCCTTTGAGCAGCTGACCCTCTGCAAATACAAGGGGCGGCCCCGTGAGTGCAGAGCGCTCGAGGGCCTGACAGCGCTGTCTACCTGCCTGATGATTGTAGCGCCCGAGCTTGACTTGTGCAACTGCGACCACAGCTGTAAAGTAGCAGCCTTGGGATTCCAGCACCCAGCCTGCACATTCCGACAAGGCAACAACACAATAATCGCATTGCAATTTTGACCCCCGCAAACACCACCACCGCCACCGCAACGGACACCGTGACCGCGGTCCCCCGTCAACCCCGCCCCTCCGCAGACTGGGGCAAGAACTTTGACCGCACCTTCACCAGCCCGGACTGCCCAGTCCGCGACAACCACTGGAAGTTCGACGCGCTGCTCGACCTGGCAGCCAAGTACGACCCCGACAAGGTGCTGCAGCCGCCGCTGATGACCAAGGTGATCTCCAGGACGCCCTTCGGCTACTTCCCCCGCTGCGCCCTCGCGAAGCAGTGCTACTGCAAGGAGGATGCGCACTGCGGCGAGGGCCACGCGTGCGTGCCGAGCGCGGCGTTCCCGGAGTACAAGGTGTGCAGGCCGGCCGACCTCAAGGCCAGCCTTGGGTAGCTGTTGATTGACCAGGCTAAAACGACAGAATCCTCTTGAAATGAACGGGCGCCCGCAGGTCCCTCTCCCGCTGCACATGCACCTGCTTTGCCTTGCTCTCAGTTGCCAACGCATGCTGCACCGCCGGGCCGTGCGCCTGCGCCTTGGGCAGATAGATGCACCTGCCTGCTCGGCAAGTCACCTTCGACTTCGCAGGCGACTGATGCGCTCCTGATCATTGATTGCATTTCAGCCTGATTTTTTGTCCTCCTTTTCATGGCACTGGCTTCAATTGCATCGTCTGCATGAAAAGAGCCAAGGGTATTGTTTGCCGGGCCCCGCGCGCCTTATTACGGCGGCGGTGCATACAGGCTCAACTGCATTGCAAGACAGACACAGCTCACAAGCACGCGGTGCATACAGCGAGCCGCGTGGTCATTTTATAGCAAGCAGGAGGAGTCCAGCTTTGTTTGGCTACAACAAGGCATTGACATCATGCCAGTTTGGTGCTGCACATCTAGGTCTGCGTGCTGCACATATATTACAGTGTTTGACCGATTCTCCACATATTGAGCGGCATGCTATCAGTTGCTTTGTATTGAGTTGCATTGTGTTGTTGCAATTACCTTGCTGGCCTCAAAATACAGCAAATGGTGGCTGATCAGGCCTCAGGCAGCCGGCAGCCATGCAAACCAGGAACAAATCACACAGGGCTTGACTCTCCATGCTAGGGTTTAAGCTGGACACGCTTGCGTATATTCACAGCTCATATGAGACTCTGTGCTTGACAAATTGTGTGCAATGCCTTGACAGTCGCAGACGCGCCGAACGCGCTGTAGCAGCAGCACCGCCTGGCATAGCTCGGGGGCGCCTGCGGCCGAGGCGACGCCTGAGCAGGCGCCTAAGCCGCCGACGCCGCGAGCAGCGCGACCGACCCCGCGTAGGCCCCCGCCTGTGCGCACACCAGCGTCACCGCGCGCCACCCCGCGCCCCGCAGCTCCCGCAGCGCGAGCGCGCCCACCGCCATCCCGACGAGCGGGTGCGCCGACACCAGCAGCGCTGCGGCGTAGCCCGCCGCGTCGCCCCCCATAAACTGCAGCATGTCCCCGCCGCTCGTCAGCGCGCCGGACAGCACGCACAGCGCGCGGCCGCGCCAGTCCCCGGCCCAGCCGGACACGCTCGAGCGCTGGGTGCCCAGCGGGGGCGCGTACATCGCCCAGCATGACACCAGCAGCGCCATGAGGCCGAAGCCCATCGCATAAAGAGCGGCTGCCGTGTAGACGTCAAGGCGCGGCGCGCCAGCTGGCAGCACGCCGAGCGCGTCTTTCACCGCCACGACGAACAGCACGTACGAGGCGCTGTTGAGGAGCGCCCCTGGCACGACGATGGCGAAGCCGAGCAACGCGGCGCCCGCGTGCGGCGAGTCGGCGGCCTCGATCGCGCGCTTGGGGGCCGGCGCGGCGGCGGGGGCGCCGCCGTCCGCGCCCCGCGGGTTGTGCCGTCGGTGCCGGAGGCCGCCCGGGGGCGGCTGCGGGGGCGCAGTGGCCGAGACGGCCGGCGACGGCGCCGCAGGGTCGTGCGGCATGGGCGGCTGCGGCTGCGGCGACAACGGCGCCGGCGGTGGCGTCTGCAACACCCGGTGGGCCGGGTGCGGCAGCAGCAAATCGATTGGCGCCCCATCATCCGCTCCATTCGCGGGTGCCGCCGGCGCGCCAACCGCCGCACTGTCCTGTGCTCCCGAGTCCCTGAGCGGCGC